AGAAGATGTCTCTACATTTTCCTCTCGTTGTCTAGCTTGTGAACAGCCCACACATTGTTTCAACATAATGGCCTGTGTCTGCCCCTGTAATGTGGTTTTGGGAGGAGTGGGTTATTATCATCCTCAAAGCTTGGATGTTTCAAGCTTGTTGGAGCAGAGAAACATGAAGTCAGCGCTCAATGGCCATTAGCATTGAAATGGACAAAGTCTGCCCCATGTGAGTAGAAATGATGAATTCTACCATAGCAGCCAAGACTTGGAAAACCCAGATGAATTGTGCCCTCATTGAGGGAATGTTTGCACAGTGTTAATCTTCAAAGGTTTGTTGACTTCCAGGAAATGGAATTATGAACTTTTGGACCAAAAACAAAGCCTTACAAAGAGAATCATTCACTAAAGAATCAGTGTTGTGCAATGTGACGACATTCTGTTTCTATGTAATGTTGATGGCAGAAACGTGTTTCGTTCTTACGTGAAAACATTGCATAAATTCTTGTGTATTGGGCATATACAAGAAACATCTGCTGGTTTTCCACAATCTATAAACTGGATCCTTATGGAGCAGGCAGAGCTCAAGTTTGCCTCAGGTTGTCATCATCTCTGTTTGGGCCTTTATGTACTGTATGCATCTTAAAAATGCAAACATGCTCTGAAACATTTAATATTTCATCACTTAGTTTAATCCATCCTTATAAATCCGTTGCAGTTGTTTTAAATTGCACCAGCGTCACACTGCTGAACTGTCAACCTTTGGAATCTACATTACTATGTTTGCTCAAACGGAGCCAAATATGTGCAAGCTGTTTATTTTGATTTATTCGTGTCCCTGTTGGCTCAGCAGCATTCCTTATTGCTGGGAATGTTTAATCCAGAGCAAAAACATGAGAAAGGGGGTACAATGGTGAAATAAGGTTAGAACAAGCAATCTAACCCCCTACTTTTTTTTTTTTTACATGAAGGACACTATTCAAGAAAAAAAAAAAAAACTAGAAAGTAGATACTTATAAAACTCCCCATCTTTGATACACTATTTTTACAGTATCAGCAAAACCACAGTTCAGCTGCTTTATCTAAATTGATCTTTAATTACAGTAGCAAAATTTTGCAGGGGAATTCAGAGAACATTGCCTTTACTGTACTTAGGCAATTATGAGAGGTTAATTGACACTAAACCATTGAGTCAGGGGAGACAAAGCTTGAGCAGTGGCAAAAATAAGCAATTATAAGAGTAAATGCATATTATCCCTAGTGCTGAGGGCCTGAAAGATAGATGTTAAGAGCGTATTGTATAATGCACACTTTAAAATGCCTTTCCTAGGTAAGGTATAGGAAAGGACACATTTTCTAAACATATGCTGGCCCATGTTGCAATGCTGAACACTGGACATGTAGTAGATTAATGACCGAAACATAATTCCAACTGTGGACGCAAACACTCAACTTTTTCCCATGGCCATCTCTGTCTATGACCTTAACCATATAAAACACAGCATGAACTGAAGTTAGATTTTAGACAGTCCAGAGAGACTGTGAAAAATGGATTAGTAAAGGCTGAACCACTGAATATGCTCCAGACTTGAGAAAAATTACAAATATGAGATGCACTATTTGTTTTAATTTACGGTATTTTTATTATTTCTTAAAATACTTTCTTTTTCTTTTTTTTTTTTTTACAATTCAAGATCTTTAATTAACCAAAAAAGGCTCAAATTAAAGGTTGCAGTTTTTCTGAGGTTTTTAAATTATTAAGAAAGGCACCAAAAAGTACAGGGTAACCCTGCACTTCCAAATGATCTTTGTTTATACTGATTTTCTACTGGGTCTGGTGTTGCTGGAATATGCTGCAAATATTCTCCATTCAACATGGGCTTTAAAAACACTCTGTTCCTCTGGGCATTTTACAGTGGTCTGTATCTGATAAGCTCCAGGTGCTGTTCAGATGCTGCTTAACTTTAGGCAGAAAAAGTCATCTTTATTGGAATGTAATGCAGTTTTCTTCTCCATTTGGAGCCAAAACCAAATCTTTAAAACTTGTGGTGAAACTTTGTTGGTCCAACCAAGATGCTTTTTGGATGGCTGTGATACTTAGAAAAGTCAAATTAATATTTCCCCAAGGATGGTTCCAAAGTTATGACTCACAGCTTTTCCAAAGTGAGTCACTTTTATTTTTTTTAGTAGCATAAACTGCCTTTTCTAAGTGGTCAATGTTGTCAACCTCCAGATGTCATTTATGCTTTAAGAAAATCGGATTATCAAATCCACACTTTAACTTAATTTCCACCTCTTTCCATTATACTAAATATAGGATCTCTACAAAGTGTTCCTGCTACAACATAACAATGTTGCATGTTGCAATAACTGGCCAAACACTGTCCTCTTGTGGATTATTGCAGTTTTGCAGAATTGCTTTTTGACATTTAACGCCGCAGTGACGCAACTTCTTATACAATGGCAGCTTTATTCAAAAAGAAGGGTTTTCATACTGTAGCAAGAGACTGCTATTTGTTTCTTAACTGTATGACTGTGGATCATACTATTAGCACTTGTACCAGCTGCTTAATCACAAACAGGATTTTTCCAACCTACTGAAAATAACTGAGCACATGTAGTTCTCGTTTAAACTCTCACGAGAACAGGAGTTTAAAAGTATGAAACATGCCAGTAGGTGGCGGTATATGAAGACTTAAAATAAAACAAAATAAAACAAATTCTTTTGGAGCTGAAAAAATTGTGGTTTTTTTTAACTTTTTTTATGTGTTTTTATTTAGCGCTTATCTGCTTTGCTATGTAGAACTTTGGGATTTGTATAAATATAAAGTGCATGACAAATCCAATGTATTATTATGGCATTGGTGCAAAACTTTTATGTGAAAAAAAAAAATCACCATTAAGTTAAACAATTTAACTTGAAATTGAAAAATGAATGTTAGGGATGAAATTTGTAAAACACAATTATCCATTTAAAATAAAAATAAGCGTTGCAGTTTAAATTAAATATTGACTTAATTCTGGAAGTATTTTGATGAAAACTAATGTTTTATCTTTCACTTTGGCATATTTTAATATTTGAGGACTAATTTTTTTCAGTTCATTTTTTATCTTTTCAGAATTTAAGGTAGCTTAGTTTTTACAACTTCTTTCCACAATTTAGATGTGTCTCAGTGTGAAAAAAATGTTTTGAGTTTTAATGACCATAATTAAAAAGTATCAAATCGTCCACATCTTTCCCTGGATTATTCTCAAGAAAGAGTTATATTGGAAAGTGAAATATACAGAGTCCAAAGACCTATAGCTCACCATTACCTAAACCCTGGAGGCTGAACTTGCTCAAGCAGGACTTGGAAAAAAGTCACCTTACCACATGACACAGAGATAGCTTTAGAAGAGGTACTGCGTTAAAAGTTATATTGCAATGTAAAATCCCCACATAAACTGTTCTCTATGAGACTCTTGGTAATAGTGGTGTTCTGTCTCCATCAGAAGTTCCATGTCCTTTCTGAAATTTAACCCCAGTTTGTTAGCATGTGTGGAGAAACATAATTTGCATGATGGACATTCATGTTCGCAAATATAAATTTAAGTACTTGTTTTTCTGCTCCTACCAACTCATGCCTTTGTCGAAAAAAAAAGATAATCTCAAGATGGATGAGACACCTGCAGCGAGTCAGAGCAATGGAGATGGGTACATCCTGTGTTCCCTCAATACAAAAATATCCTAATCTTACAGTGATCCTAATTCTATTGAGCTTATGTGGTCAACATTTGTTGCCAATTATTGCTTCTTCTTGTTTGGCAGTATTGATGTATTGGATGCCATGTGTGGAAGAGTTCACATAGGAAAACAGTTCAACATCCAAATCTCTAGAACAAACACTTAAGAGGCCTACTGCTGTGGCAGCATTAAAAAAAAAAAAAAAAAAAAACAACGACCTCCTGTTGCTCTGAAACTTGCATTGTTTGGGGAGGCAGGAGTGGACACAGGCGCTCTCTGAAAATAATTCCTCACAGGTGAAACAAAACATATAAATCTGCAAAACAGTTTCCCTGATTAATGCCCTTAGTTCTGAAAAAGATTTCATCTCTAACAAATGACTAAATGTTACCATTTATTTAGTAATGTGTCAAACTTCTTTAAGAGCTGTCCCTGAGCTTTGCATTAAGTTTTCTGTAATCTAAGGTTATGAAAACCCAAAAATGAAACAACCCCACAAAAACTATCTGAATGGCTCTGAATAAATATGGTCAAATAATTTTGAATTATATTGGTTGGGTTGCCAGTTAAAGCAATTCGGCCTAAAGTAAATTTATAGAATTAATATTTTTCTGTCACGTTATGTAGGAGATCCCAGACTATTGGTTTTGCAACCTCATATCTTAATCAAATTGGATAGTTTCAACCTCCTTAGACGTTTTCTTTTGATGTAGGCCAGTGATTTGACCTTTCTGAAACAGACATTTTCCATGACCACAGGATGCATCATTCACCGTTCACGGAATGAGAAGCAATTGGAGTTAGACAACTTGTTGGACTACTTGTTGGACAGCTGAAACACAATCACTCATGCAGTAATTATCCTATAGGAGGCTAGGACCTGTGTAGTTAAATCCAGGTGGATTTTTTTTTTATTTTATTTTGGCCAAGCAGTGTATTAAACTACCAGACCTGAAAGGGTCCCAAAAGTGAATATTTCACATAACTAAACTAAGCATTGTGTTTATTTTACTTAAATCTGATCGTCCATGAGGAGTGTTGTTGGGTTTCATTTGTGCTTTAAAAAATAAACTAAAGCACTTCGACAAAAAGATTTAATCATCTTCCTCAAACAACTGTAATCGTCAGTTCATATCAACGTGTATATTTCATAGTAGTGGTGATACTGTTTTGGCAAATGGCTAAGCTTAATTAAGTAACTTTAATGACTATAAAAAGTTTAAAAAAAAGTAGGGTTTAGACATCCATTTTTCCAATAATCAATGCCAATACTAGATTTTCTGACTGATGTTTTTGACACCAGCATTTATTTTATTAACATTCACAATATTTCACTTTATATACAGCTGCATATATTACAAACTTTATCGAGGTATTAAAAGTAGGCTACAGTTAAAAAAAAAAAATAAAATAATGCAACATTCAAAACAGAAGATTGTAAAAACATTTGTTCCAAACATCACCCATAGTGGACCGTCTGCTGTTACGTGCAGTATTAAAATATGCAAATTATCAGCATGTCATTTCAAAGTCTCTTTGGAAATACTTTCCCTTGGGTCCAGTGCAGGAGAGGATACCTTATCCCTAACAATAGTTTCAAATGTAGACATCATGTGTATATTTTCAGTTTGAATTATATTTTTCACCCCTTCCTTTACTTGGTCTCAGTAAACTTAAAAAAAAAAAAAAAAGAAACTCATTTTGCAGTCCAGCAGGATTCCCCAAGTCCAGCAAAGCTCAGTCAACATCAGAGTCTAATGCTTTGCTTTTAAACTGCTCACTTCCTCCTGTGAGAAAAGAAAAAATATGTATCATCTAACAGTTACCTTGTGAACCACAACGTCTGGATTTCTTTTTCTTGTGGTGACAGGAAGCACACCAACCAAAAAATGCTAGCTATGGATTACTGACCTGCAAGGCTAGTCGCCTATTTCTTTCCTCCTTCAGTTCTTCTTTCACTTCCTGCATGTCTCGTCTTTTGAATTGGACAGAAAAGAAAAAATAGATTACTGAAGTGGGAAGGTTTAAATTAGCCGATCATACATCAGCAATACATCGCTCTTTGCTGAAGACATTCCAGATTCATATGAAACGGGTTGCAAATCATCTATGACCACTTTACCTCAAATAATGCTTTTAAAACAGCACTAAGTATGAAATGTACTCACTCATGTCGGGTCTGCAACAGCTCTAATGCCATTCTCAGCTCCTTGATCTCTGCCTGCAGGCTCCCTATAATCGGCTCTTCATCTCTATGGTTCGCGGTTTTGTTGCCGACAACATTTTTTGGGAAAGCTGGTCGAACTGGAATCGGTATCTTAACTGGAACCTCAGGCTTTGCAGGAAGTGTTGGGAGAATTTCTGATACCTTTAATGATACAAGAACATTCCAACATGAAGACACAGAAACTTTGTTTTAAATTTAGACAAATTGCTCCTTTAACTAAACAGTGAGTAGGTAAACCTGTCAGTTAAACGCTGTATACCAGGGGTGGGCAATTCTAGTTCCTGAGGGCTGGTTTCCTGTAACTTTCCGATGTGGCTTTGGTTCAACACATCTCAATCAAATAATTAGGTGATTAAGAGGACTCTTGAGAAACTGACTGCATACCGAGGTGTTAACTCAGCCATTTAATTCAGGTGGGTTGGACCGACAAGGGTGGATCTAATAGTTGCAAGTTACTGGCCCCAGGAACTGGAATTGCCCAGCCCTGTTCTATAACAAGCATTTAGGGATGTAGATGTGATGAGGACCAATGAAGGAAGAAAGTATAAATAAGGGACTTTAAACATGGCCTGGTGGTTGGTGGCAACTGCTGATCTGCTGATCTCTGATTTACAGAAATGATTTGAAGAAAAGATCTCCTGAACTTAGTTTAAAATAGAGGTTCCCAATTATTGTTTTATGAAGTATGGAAACATTTACTGACTCCTTCAAGCAGAATCCTGGTCAGCATCATAAATCATCTCTGATGACAATGACTTCTCTGTATTTTAATGAGCTCCAGAGTCAATCAATCCATTTTCTATTACGCTTATCCCTACTGGGTTTGCGAGGGGTGCTGGTGGGGTGAACCCTTGACATTTCAGTCTATCGCAGGGCAACTGAGACAAACAGGACAATTATTCATGCACACACAAACCTAAGGAGAATCCATGCATGCACAGTGAGAACATGCAAACTACATACAGAAAGACCTCAGGCCGGGAATCGAACCTGAAACCTTGTTGCAAGGCAGCAGTGCTACCCACTGTGCAACTTCATGGATATCCATTTACACCCACTGTGTAATATAATGTTGATTAGTGTTTCGCACAAATTTAGTATGTCAGAGAATAAAGGCATAATGGCAATGGTAAGCTTAATGAATCGGTTGCTTTATACAGTGGTAGGTTTTTGTATTGCAACATTTATTTATTTTTTTATTATTGCATGTAGAATACTTTAGATATGTAAACAGAGATTCGGATCTTCTTAAATTTGGAGAGGTAGGACAGTAAAGTAGTATAACTTCATTGCAATAAGACTGTTTTGCTCTGCCAAGCAATTTCTGCTAAGGTTTTTAGTCTCACACTCATTAGGTAACCAGGAGGTGAGAATTAAAGAGATATTTTAAAAACGTTTCAGGATTCATAACCGGGATGTTTTATCTGCTTGACAAACACTTGAGCAACTTCGACACTATGCATACTGTATAATGTGACCTTTGAAACAGTAAAGCCCCACCTTCATAAGTTAACAATTACACGTGCAAGATTGTGTTTTACTTCAAGTCTAGTATCAAGGAAAAGCAAAGTTTGTGCAAACTAATAATCCTGAATACATAAAGATGTGTACATCTGAGAAAAACAAGAAAATCCTAATTTGAGACTGATTGTATGCTGGTGAAGATTCTCAGTCATCCAGGTCATAGCCATTCCAAAAAAGATAAAAAACAAAACAAACCACTGGAATTTGATTCCAACTTTGAAGACGTTCCTTGGCTGGAAAGAGAAACATCTTCAAACTTGGAAACAAAGTCCATAGTTTTTTTTTTGGAGAGGCTTATTAGAATGTTTAAAAGGCACAAAATGCATCAATGAATGTTACAGACCTTCTGAAAGCTGGGCAGTTTGTCTGATGGCTCTGCATCCGTTTCATCTGTTGCACTCTGGGTCTGTAAGGGAGAATCAAATTCAGCCTCATACTTTGATGTCTTAGCAAAATGTGTCCAATTGGGACACAAGCTAAACCTGTTATAACAGAATTTTCCAAAATTCTGAAACCGACAAAGTTATGTTTACACACAATTATTTTATTTATTTATTTTAACACCTCCGTTAAAAATTTAAATCTGTTCCTAACTTTCAAGTCATCCTGTACACTGGCAGACAGACAGACACACAAACTCTCCTAAAAACAATCTCCTAGGCCAGGGGTGCTCAAGTCCAGTCCTCAAGAGCTACCATCCTTTAACTTTTAGATGCATCTCTTCTCTAGCACACCTGAATCTAAAGCCTCAATCCCCTCATTTAGCTCTGCAGATGCATGGTAACAAGCCACTAATTTGATTTAGGTGTGTTAAAAAAGGTTGCATCAAATAGTTGCAGGATAGTAGCTTTTGAGGACTGGACTTGAGCACCCCTGTCCTAGGCAGAGATAATACCTAAGAATATGGAAAGCTGGTGAAAAATAGCTTTAAGATAATGAAAAAGCCCAAAGGTAACTCTGGAGAAACTGCAAAGATCTAAAGCGAAGGAGGGAGCATGCTTTAGGAGATCCATGGGTCCTGTACTCTGGTCTTAGTGGAGGAGTTACAGGAAACAAAGAAGTAGAACTGGTTCAGATTAAAGCATATTACTTAAATGGCAAATCCTTGTCAAAGACCAGAATTAAATCAAATAAATTTTCAGATTGAGAATCTGTGGCAAGATTTAAAGTTTTTTAAACAATGCCATTCCAGCAAAACTAGTTTTATGAAACATTTTCATTTTGGGGCTGGATGCAATGCTGCAAAAAATAAAATAAAATCCCAATATCAAGGAAAATAGGAATTAGTTTAAACAAGTTTTTTTAGAAAAAGGTTTTGTAGAAAAATCTGTTTTTGTTATTACGTTAGTATTAGAGGATAGCGTTTAAATATAACCCTTTCAGAGTGCGTCACCACTGACAACGGAAAAGCACTGATATTATTCATGCGATGATGTGTAGGCCCTGTGGTTAACACAACCCATATGAAATGTTATTTAAGGCCTCATCTAAAAAATCTTGTGTAACAGCAAACAGAAATCTGTTAAAATCAAATGAGTCTCTAATATAGAACTTACATGAACTGTAGTACTCAGGGCTGTTGGGGGTCTCCTTTGTGGTGGCTTGGCCCTGTTAGCTGTGGGATGACTCAGCTTTTCAGTTTGCACATCCATCCCATCAAACTGGTCACCCTCTTTCGCCTGCGGTTTTGGTGAGGTGGGAGCTGCATCCCCATTGGTAGAACTGAATACAAAAGATCACCGATTTTATTTTTTTTTTTGTTTAATGATACAATCCAGATCAATAAAAATATTTTTTATATTTTTAACAATTTCATGTTCATGTTGTCTAAACTCGAAACGTACTATAACTTGAAAGACATTTTTGCTTTTGTCTCATTTCTACAAGTGCAAAGCGTTACAGCTGAAGCTTAAAGTGCAACTGTGTTATTCTTGTATAACCTGATTATCCAGGCATGTCTTTCAGTTTCAGTACATGCATGAAATAATTGCACATAAAAAAATCTGCATTTCTGCTTTTTTATGATTACAATTTTTACCAATAGTTCTACCAGAATGTACAGACTTATACAATCATTAGTGCTTCTGGAAGTAAACTACCACTGACATTTTTGCAAAGACTTTTCCATTTCTAACGTCTTTAAGGAGGGACTAGTATTCTTCTTTGTTCATCGTGTGCTCCTGTTTTGTGCATTTTGCTCAGGAAACAGGAAGTCAGCTGCTCTCATCTGTTTAAGTCTGATTTGACTCATCTAAGTTTCCACTGAGCCACTAAATGTCATGCATCCAGATATTCTTCTTTAATGACTCCAAGGCAACTGGTGGTGGCCACCAAAAACCTGCAGTAAGATTTAAAGCCATTGGTTTTGGTGCCAGACCAAAGAGCAGAACACGTTCCTGATGTTTTTGAAAAGGCCCCTTTTTGCTGTAAAGGCTGCAAACAAATACCTACTGAGTCTCTAGCGGCATCGCAGTGAGATTAGTGATGCAGGACAACAACTTGTGTGTTACTCACATTGGTACAAGCTTGTTAGGTTTTTCTTTGACGGGAGGTGGAGTGGGTTTAATAGTTGGCAGCTTTACTTTGGTTGGAGGGTTGCTTCTCAAGTCTTTATGCTCTGGTTTCTCTTCTGTAAAAACAAAACAATGTCATCTAATGTTGACATTTCTTCATCTTTTAAAGTTAAGTTTATGTAAAAATTACTTTCAGTTGTACCTTTAGTCTTTGCTTGCTCATTTTTCTCCATTGTTGTTCCTTCAGGTTATTTTTTGCAAAAGAAAATAAACATTTACAAAAGGACCCAGATAAGAAAATAAAAAGCAATACAATTTTTACAATTTAAGGCTCAAAACTGAAATATTTTTTGCCAGCAATTATTTAAAGGAGCTTTGACTCAGTGGCACATTTTCCAGGTTTGTTTCTGCCCCGAGTTCACCAGCACATATGGAGGATACCACTGCAACAGAGCCATGGTGCTCAGCAAAACCCACACTTGCTAAAAGAGGTCAGAATGCTGTATGGCGTTTCCCCATGCTTCCTGTGTGTCAACAGTTTCAATGTTGTAAATGTCTACAGTGTTAAAAGTCCTCATAAAAGCTGATATTTCAGCTTCATAAAAAACACAGCCCTGAAGCTGTCCAGATAATCTGCAATCTCACCACAAACACATATCTGCTTCTTTAAAAATTCAGGGAAGATGCAATTAACTGTAATGTCACTGAGGAACCTTTTGTTTTGTAACAATTTATTTTTCATATATGATCTTTTGTGCAAGTAATGTCGTATTTCTGCATGTTTTTACATCATCAAAACTGAATTCCTAAACTATGGATATGAAGTTTACATCACCTACTGATGTTCTATTACAGAAGAGGGAGATTTGGAAATGCATTTTGTTTTTTAAATACTGCTTGATTATATTTTGCAATGCGATTCATTTTCTCCAATGGAACAGATTACAGGTGTTTAACACTTTATTGCAATGGTTTGCTGACATCTAACCCAAACTTTGTGGGACATGCAGCCCTGCATACAGGTCCTTTTTTTTATTACAGCTGAGGGGCTTGCATTTTCTTTTATCTGGCCACAAATGACCATTCATTTGAAATAATTACTACACGCCCACATTTTTTTCCCCCTCTTATCAGTTTTCGGCAATGTAAGAATCAGTATGCAACTCTAAATTTTGTATGGTTATATAATTTCCATCCATCAATTTTTCCAGCTTGGTCCTTGTCAAGGTTGCATGGGGGCCCAACGGTCTATGGGCTAGAGCCAGGGTAAAGCCTGGACAGGTTGCCAGTCTGTCACAAGGCAACAAAGACACACTTAGAGAACAACTTAGAGAAGCCAATTAACCTAACAGCAGAGATGGCAAAAGTACTCACTTTCTGTACTTGAGTAAAAGTACAGATACTTGAAGTGGAAGTACTGATTAAACTTCTTTACTCAAGTAAAAGTAACAAAGTACAAATACTTCGTTACTGTACTCAAGTAGATTTTTCTGATATTTTTACTTTACTACTTATTTTTATGGCGACTTTTTACTTCTACTCCTTACATTTTTACACAAATATCTGTACTTTCTACTCCTTACATTTTT